TTCTCCTGGTCCGTCTCTTGGTCCATCTCCTGGTCCTTCTCCTGGTCCGTCTCTTGGTCCATCTCCTGGTCCTTCTCCTGGTCCATCTCCTGGTCCATCTCCTGGTCCATCTCCTGATCCATCTCCTGGTCCTTTTCCTGATCCATCTCCTGGTCCTTCTCCTGGTCCTTCTCCTGGTCCATCTCCTGGTCCGTCTCCTGGTCCATCTCCTGGTCCATCTCCTGGTCCATCTCCTGGTCCATCTCCTGATCCATCTCCTGGTCCTTTTCCTGATCCATCTCCTGGTCCATCTCCTGGTCCTTCTGGATTAAACCACAATCATCTAATGACTGAATAAAAGCCTTGAGCTCCAGGGCTCCCCCTCCTGGATGGTCTCAGCCTTGTACCTCAGGATAACGGGACTCCAAACTTGGCCGTCTCTGTGTTGCCATGGGGATGGGGCCATTTATGCTATCAATTTAGTTTCCTTCTTTAGGTAGTTAGAATATATTTAAGTTAATTTAGCCAAAAATTTTATTTTTTTAAATAATTGGACTTGCTTACATTAGGTTGTTAATTGTTAGACCCTCCTATTAATTAAAGTAATTAAGAACACAGCGGGGGCTGGGTGGAGGATGATTGTTTGGTAAATGTCTGCTGGGGACGGGTTTGTAGATTTGTTTTTTTAAATTATTTTTGGACCACTTTTTTAGAGCTTCAAATATTAAACTGACATTATTTTGCGTTTCGACTAAGTTGCAACACATTTTTAGTGATTATTTTGTTTCTGCTTTTACAATAAATAAGCAGCTGTTACCACAGGTTGGTTGATTGGGAAGATCTAATCAAAAAGCCTGAGTTAGATGAACCACATGTTCATATCTGCTCTATATCTATGGATTATTGATGTTAGTCTGATTTCATGAAGTCATTAATCAGCAGGAACTCCACCTCATATACCCAATTTATCAAACACTCAAACTCCTTCTAATGGTACGCCTGAAATAATGACAGGAAAAGGAGGAAAAAGTCATAAAACAAGACGTTTCTAATGGGATCAGAACCAGGCCTGACATGGAGACTGGACCAATAACGTCTAAAGGTCTGACAGACTGAGCCAACCAGAACCAACAGCCATTAGAACCAGTAGAACTGCTGACATGTCAGCTGGTTGTTTCTCCTCCAGATACGGAGCGTGCTCTGCAGGCGATGGAGGCCTGCCAGGCCGACGCTGCTGATGGGGTCAAAGGTCGAGCTGAGAAACTGCTCAACATCTTCCAGAGCGACCTGTTCCAGGCTCTCCTAGGTAACACAGCACACAGACACTCCCAGTTTACTTCACTCACCCAGATTAACACAACAGAACCAGTTCAACCCAGTTAACATGTCCCAGAATGATTTAAGAGCCCAAAATGAAAACAGGGAGATAGAACTACTGAACCCAGGGTAGAGGTAGAACACTAGGACTCAGCAGAAGACATTAGAACCTGAGGGTTGAATATAGAAGTAGGTGGATGGGGAACAGGAAGGAAGATGGGAGGATTAGAGGAAGGGGAAACACCATCAGGAAACATCAGCAAGGAGCTGAAAAATGTGGGCTAATGACCGAGATATGGGTTAGCTGGAACTACGGCTGAAGCTACAACTGGGGCTCAGAGAAGAGCTGGAGAAAAGCTGGAAGGTCAGGGCATCAGTGGAACCCATGGTCATTGGGGCCCTCGAGGTAGGGACCCCCAAACTGGAGGAGTGGTTACAACAGATCCCTGGAAATACATCAGACATCTCGGTCCAGAAGAGTTCTAGAAACAGCAAAGATACTAGCAGAACCCTCAAGCTCCCAGGGCTCTGGTGGAGGACCCCACCTGGGAGGAAAAAAAGGGGGGAGACCACCCGCGATGGGCGAGGAAGAGTGTTTTTTAGATATATATACTATATCCTAACTTTACTGTATGATATTTATATAGTTTTCATATTTCTTTATTTTATAGCCTCTTACAACAAGTCTCTGTTTATATAAACCATTAATAGTCCATGCAGACATCGTCTTTGTCTCTGTGTAAATAAATATTAGTAACCTGTATTGCACTTCTGGAAAGATGCAAACATTGCTTTGTAGTTGTGAGGGTGATGACCAAGATGAATTCTATTCTAGTAGAAGAAGCTGTTCCTGGATCAATAGCTAGAACTTAAACTAACCACCAGGATGCAGAAATGACTGTAACTGGTAGAAACAGAAGAAAGAGGAGAGATGACAGCCCAGGTAGAGTCTGTGGATCAAAGACAGAACCAGCAGAACTGGACCACATCCAGAACCCACTGAAAACAGACTGAAGGAGGAGGTCAGATGTTATGAAGCTCGGCGGCTGGTTATGGCGTAAGGTCTTCATTTCCCCCCTCAGCTCCAGCAGGGTAGACCACCACAGGCTCAGTTCTGAGTAGCACTGACCCTCATCTGATCATCAGTTAGATCCTCTGCTCTGATTGGACACGTTACTGTAGCTCCCAGTCAGACCTGAAGGTGGCGCTCTATGAGCTAAGTCCTAAATGCAGACTCAGACTCAGAGAGGCTGGTGTTCCTGGTCAGAGCTGCTGTCAGATCAGCTGTGACATCAGAGACAACAGGTTATAAAGGACATCAGCACACCTGAGCACAGCTAAGCCCCGCCTCTTTCTCCTCACCACGTGTAGAGACACTGGATCAGATTAGAGCCTGAGCTAATCTGCTCTGATGGAGGCCCCTCCCCTTTCACCTCAGGATTAGCTCGGGTCTGACTGGCTGGACTCTGTAGGTTCACTGTGGGACACCTTGAGACAGTGTCCTTTTAGAGTGTCATTCATTGATTTATTTATACATATATATACCTTATTTTATTCCCAGTGGTCCTCTGGACATCCATCAGATGTGGACAGAAAGGTCTCACACTAAGCAGCCACCATAGCCACAGGATGCCAGCTGAAATGCTTGGTGGTTTATTTAAATTACTGAACGCCTAAAACCAGAACCATGATCCATCAGTAGATGGTAGACCAACATGAGACAGGAATGACATAGGTCTATGTCTACGATCACAGTTTAATTTAAAGATTTCAGTCAGTGGAAATAAACCCAACAGTCATCTGCATAGAAGGA